GGCTGGTTGATATGAAAGTCCGATACCACCTTTGGTAAGAAGGAAATGTCAAGGTATAGGATGACTTTATCAGGGTGCATTTGGAGGTAAGGAGGATCTGACCTGAGTGCAGCCAGCTCACTCGCTCTTCTGGCCGATGTAATGGCTACAAGAAATGTGGTCTTCAGTAAAAGCATTTTCTCTGAGCAGGTAGCCATAGGTTTGAATGGAGGCTTGGTGATAGCTTCCAAGACAAGTGGTAAAGACCACTGTGGTACAATGTGGAGGCCGTATGTTTTGTAGGCCCTTCAAGAATCTTTTAACAGTAGGGTTGGAGAAGAGCCTGGTGAAGCGCAATCGAGGAGGTCGGTGAGCCACAATTGCCGAAATGTAAACTTTAAGTGTGGAATGAGCCAGTCCCAGGTTGAAGAGATGGAGCAGGAAGGTAAGTACCGTGTGCAGAGATGCCGGTACTGTGATCACGCCATTGGCTTGGGCAAATTTGGTGAAAGCTTTCCATTTGTTCTCATACAACCGAAAGGTAGACGGTTTTCAGGCTTGGTCTAGGACCGCACGGAACCTGGGGATATCCTCCACATCGTCAGGTGAAGAGACCGGAGATTAGGATGAAGGGCCCTGTCGTTCTGGGAGAGGAGGGATGATGTCGGAGGTAGGTGCATTATTTCTTCCGTTATTTCTGATAGGTGGGCAAACCAGGGTTGGCGTGGCCACCATGGGGCAATGAGAATTGCATTCGTTTGGTACTGAATAATCCTGGTTACAGTCCTGAGGAGAAGTGGTATTGGGGGGAACAGGTAAGTTAGCTCTCCGGACCACGGTATGGGGAAGGCGTCTCCAAGGGGTGAGGCACCTATACCCGCCCTGGAGCAGGACCTGCTGCATTTGGCATTTCGACGGGGACGCAAAGAGATCTATCGTGGGCTGTCCCCAGCGGCTGCATAAATCTAGGAAGACCTTCTGGTCAAGGGCCCATTCGTGCCTTCTGGTGGGTAGTTGGCTCAAGCGGTCTGCCAGGGAATTGTCCTTGGACACAATATGGATTGCTTGGGAAAAGATGTGGTGGGAGCGGCACCATTCTCAAAAACGTAGAGTCAATCGGAGGAGGGGCCTGGATCGAGTCCCGCCCTGTCTGTTGATGTAGCGCATCACTGTAGTATTGTCTGTTACCAACTGTACTACGAGCCCTCGTACGCGGGGCAGGAAGCCTTGAAAAGCCTTGATGACAGCCAACAATTCTAGCTGGTTGATGTGGATGGCTCTTTGGCGCGAAGTCCAGAGGCTGTGTACCCGCAGCTCCTGGCAGTGCGCTCCCCATTCTGAGGGGCTAACATCTGTCACGACTTGTATGGACTGATATGTAGGGTGGAACGGTCGTCCCAAGGAAAGGTTGTTGGGCATGGTCCACCAGATGAGATGCTTGGCTACGAGAGGTGGGACCCTTAACTTTTTTGTAGGAGGGTCCATCATGGGATCGTAATGGGTGAGAAACCAGGACTGGAGTGGTCTGAGTTTTAGTCTCGCGAAGAGTACCACTGAGGTAGTGAACGCCATCAAACCTAGAAGGTGCAGGGTATTGTGCACAGTCAAAGTCGCATACAGTGTGAACTTCAAGGCTGCAGCCTGGATTTTGCGAATTCACTGAGACGGTAGGAAAGCTCTCATGTGAATCGAGTCCAGTGTTGCTCCTATGTAGGAGACGGTATGGGACCGTATCAGGCTAGACTTTTTCTCGTTGATTTTTGACCCAAGTCTCTTTAAGGTGTAGAGGGTGAAGTTTGTGGCGGAGACTGCCTCGTGGTAGGATTTTGCCACTAGGAACCAATTGTCTATATAGGGAAAAAAAATTATCCCCTTGGTATGGAGGTAAGCCACGACTGGTGCCATGCATTTTGTGAATGTCCTGGGCGCTGTGGAGAGCCCGAACGGGAGAGTGGTGAATTGGTAAGTATTGTGATGTAACCGGAACCGAAGGAATTTTTGATGAGATGGGTGAATGGAGATATGGAAGTAGACGTCCTGTAAATCTATGGTGACGAACCAGTTTCCCTGAGACAAAAGAGGCAGAATGGAGTCAAGAGTCAGCAAACGGAATTTCTTGTGGAAGATGAATTGGTTGAGGTCTCTGAGGTCCATGATAGGCCTTATGCCTCCATCTTTCTTGGAGACTGCAAAGTAGCGCGAGAAGAAACCCTTGCTGGAGTCAGAGGATGGTACCCTGGTTATGGCCTCCTTGGATAGGAGTGCTGAGATTTCCAAATGCAGTGGCATGGAAAAGGGAGTTTTTTAAATTGAGTTTTGTGGTGGGGTCTCTGAAAATTCAATCAAATAGCCCTTTTCAAAGATATTAAGGACCCACTTGTCAGTAGTGATGGTTTGCCATTCTGGGAGGAATGGGAACAGTCTGGTGGTGTATAAAGAATGAGGAGAGCTGCTTACCCCTGTGCTGAGCTTTGCGAAAAGCCTGCTTGGGGCTGCGAAAGCGTTGCTGTTTGAACAATGGAGCGGTGGACTGTTGAGTCTGGTAAGCCCGGTCCTGCTGTTGATTGCTATACCGAAAGGGTTGGTTCTGAGTGGAAGATTGGTATTGAGGCTTCTTGTATTCCTGTTTCTGGTACCTATACGGCTGGGATGGTACGTAAGACTTTGCTGTCTATCTCATCTTATGGATATTCTCCATGATTTCGTCAGTTTTGGAGTTGAACAGTCCAATTGCGTCGAAGGGTAGATCCTCAATTTTTGTTTTAGTGTCGTCGAGGATATTGGCGGTTCTGAGCCATGCCTGGCATCTGACAACTATCGCCGTTAACATGGATTTAGAGACGATGTCTGCCGTATGTTTAGCAGCAAATCTCCGTTGTCTGGTCAGGGTATTAGCCTCTTCGTAAACGTTGAGGGCTTCCATTTTAGAAGGATCATGTAAAGTTTGTAGCATAGGGATTATTTTGTCCCAAACATACTTCTGGTAAGCGCCCATGGCCGCTTGATAGTTGGCTATTTTGATCAAAAGGGTAGCAAAGGCATAAAGCTTTTTGCTCAACCTGTCCGATTTCCTACCCTCTTTGTCAATGGGGGTATCTGACGACCGGGTACGAGACCTGTATTGGGTAGCTTCAACCACGATGGAGTTGGGTGTTGGATGATTAGTGAGGAATTCAGAATCCGACCCATGAGTTTTGCAGTGATGCTCTATTTTGCAAAGGACTTGAGCCATCAAGGGTGATTTGTCCCATGAAGTTTTAAGCAGTTCGAAGAGGGCTGGAATGAGGCTCAGACTAGGAAGGGAAGCCTTGTTCTGCTCCATGTCTTGAAAGACTAAGTCCCTTTCCTGTTGCGGGATCTGTGCATCCAGCTGATGCACATGATGAGTTGCACATAAGAACAGAAGTCTTCTGGAGAAGGCTGGGAAGATGGGCCTTGACCAACTGGCTCAGGAGCCTCTGATTCACTGCATGCCGTAGAGTGGTCATCTGGGAAGGATTGAGAGGCTAGAGAAGGAGAGCGGCCTGGTACCGCATCCTCTGGTACAATGTCCAAGTCAGACTGCGTGGAGGTGGAAAAAGACTCGGTATCGTGAGCTCCTGGACTGGAATATAGAGTGGTAGCCCGTACTGAATAGTGTCGGCTGCTGCATTTGGGAGGCGCTGTAGGTACCGTGGGGAAACGCTTCTTATGCGATGATACTTGAGGTGTTGAGAGATCCACCTAGGCCTGGGGCTGATGTAGCACGGGAGGAGCTATGGTATGGTGCCACGACGGTTGAGGCATGGAAGTGCCTGGAAACTCCGGCGGGTAACCATAGCCTTGGTATGGATATGGTTGGTACGGAGGGTAGTAAGGGTGGCCAAATGGCGGACCCTGTGGACGGTACCCATCTCCTGCATCTCAAGGTTGGTACGGAATGGAATGTTTGCGCTTTTCCGTACTTATCCTAGGAGTGTCGTGGACAGGCTCCTGTTCAGAAAGAGACTCGTTATCAGCCCGCCCTGAGTATTGAGGGCTAGAAGGGGCAACGGCCCAGCTGGCGTCTGGCACAGTCTTGAATCGGCCCGAGGTTGGAGACATGCACATGGCATCCTGAGCTGTCTGGGCTAAAGGAATGTGCTCCTCAGTATCAGAAAGTCCAATTCCTTCCCTCAAAGACTCCTCGAGTAGTATCGAAGGAGCTGGAGGAGGCACACTAGGCAGTTTAGCTGACTTCTTCAGCTTTTTGGACTTATTGATGATTTTCCTTTTTGCAGGAAGGGCAACTCAAGAGGACGCCTTGGCTTTAGGCAGTTTTGAGGCTTCCTTAGGCTTCACAGGAAGAGAAATGGTAAGAGTCGACTGCTCAACAGGAGAAGTCTGTTTAGATGCCTCCGAACGTGGAGGGGTTGGTGCCGGGAGGGAGGAGCCTTCCATGGCAGGAAAAAGACTCTTCTCGTAGAGAAAAGATTGAAGCCATTGGTGCCTGAGTTTAATGGCTTGCTTGGAAAAACCTTTGCAAGCAATGCAGGTCTGGTTGAGGTGTGATTCTCCCAGACAAAACAAGTACTTTTTGTGGCTGTCTGAAAGCAGAATTTTGCGAGAACAGATGGCGCACTGCTTGAAGCCCTGAGGGACCATAAAACAAAAACAAAAAAGTGGAGCCGTTGAAAACGGGGGGGGGGACAACAATAAAACAACAACAGGGAAAAAGGTAGAATAAAGGCTAGCTAAGCTAGAATACTTAAGTATAGATGCTCTGCTCTTCCTAACGGTACGGCGGAAAAAGAGGAACTGAAGGAGATGGACGAGGCGGAGCCTATATATCCTCCGGGGGGGAGCTAACTGACTCTTTTTTTATAGCTCTAGAATCTTCCAGATGTCCTGTGTAGGCGCAGGATTAACCTATTTGGGTGCATTCACAGAGACCACTACAAAGAACTGACACTTAAAATTCCACCTTAATAGGAATGAAGATTACTATGGCTTATAGAATTACATATCAAATAATAGCTATGTTTTATTGACACTGTTAATACCTAGTTGGGCTTGTGTTGCATCCGCCATCTGAACTAAGGCATTTTCCTTCTTATTAAACATAATTTTTACACGATGGACATCACCATATACACCTGCAAAAGTAGAATAAATGCTTAATGAACCAACAGCAAAATAGTTCAAGTTACTATACTGTACAATGGAACAGCATATTTACCTTATACTAAAGCTAGTTTTCAACAGAGCATAATAAAACTTAGTTTGTATTTATAGATACAGCTTGGCATTTTATCTACTGTGAGGACAAATAACACCGGTGCAAATCTAGACTTGGTTATAAATTAATCTTAGCCCCAATGAATCAGTATCCAGTATAGTAATTTAATAGAGCTAGTGTATTTTAGATTCATGTAATATTTGTATTAAACATACAAGAATGACCCAAATGCTAGCAAAGAATCTTCCAAGTAGGTACAGTGGTGCCTCGCTTAACGATGTTAATTGGTTCCCCAAAAAACATCGCTATGGGAAAACAGTGCTGAGCGAAACACCATTTCCTATAGGAATGCATTGAAAACCGGATAATCTGTTCCAATGGGAACGGATTACCGTCCTTAAGCGAAAATCGCCATAGGAAACATCGCTAAGCGAAACAATGTTTCCCCCACTGGAATGCATTGAAGCCTATTCAATGCATTTCAATGGTTTTGACAGATCCGTTTTCGCTATTTTAAAAGTGTCTTCATATGTTCAAAAACTGTTTTAAATGCTTGGGATCGTTAGTGCACCTTGTAAAACCTTTGCAAACTTAATTTGGCTTTGTTCTGACTCTTCGTTAATTTTTGGTGAAACTGTAGGTTTGACAGCTGACACAAGACTTTTCTTTAAAAAATCAATTTATCTTAAAATCATGTTTCTCAGATGTAGCTTATAATTCTGACTTTATTTTCTACAGAACTTTTTGAACATAAACTTACCAAACAGAATAAAGAGTCCATCTGGTGTGATTGCCTGCATAAAATCACAAGACACAATTTTTACAAATTATATCATATTAAAATTGGGAGTGGGTGACCTGAATTTTCTTTGGCTACCAGGGAACCTGAACAGGTGGTCGGAGAACTAGTAGGTATATTAGAATAATTTGTTTAGATATGTTTGATGTCACATTCTTCATAGCAGTATTTTACATAATACAATTCACAATAAGATTTTTCTGAAATCTTTTTCAATGTTGATACTGGTTAATGCACAAAATCCTACTCAGGTCCCCTTCCCCCTACATTATTGTTGGAGATTATCCCTGTGAACAATGTCAGCAACATACAGGCTCTGGCAGGTCAGGTGATTAACTTGCTACAGCAACTCTGTATAAAATAACATCTTAGAATACTGATGATATGCATTGGTGGAAGGGCCACCCACACTGACGAAATCAAAGACCTTCAAGGTATTGAAAGGTTCCAATCAAACAGGCAGTCTGGATTCTCCTCCCTCCAACCAAGTGTTGTAGATGAAATGGTCTGCAGTGTTTCATTTATAACAGTGGTTCTTAACCTTGGGTTACTCAGGTGTTTTTGGACTGCAACTCCCAGAAGCCTTCACCACTAGCTGTGCTGGCTGGGGTTTCTGGGAGTTGCAGTTCAAAAACACCTGAGTAACCCAAGGTTAGGAACCACTGATTTATAAGAAGTGCTCCATGTATTAGCCTTACATCAGGATTGAGATTGCTAACAAGCAAAACACAATTTCCAGGCATTCCAGTGACCCCTGGGATAGCCATCCGCCCAGTCATGGTAGAGGTGGTGATTGCAAGAGGCCCAAGTGCACTGGGAACAGCTGGAACTGACAGACCTGAAAAAGCCAATTAAAAACAATTTTAAAAGCCAATAAAAACTATTCAGAAAATATACATAGTATCTCACCTTTTAATTTAAAAATACAGCCAGAAATATTTAGCAATAAATGTTCCCTAAATAAGAAAAGGCACTGCAATTTCTCCCTCCTTGTTTGGCTAAACAGCACATATTTAACTTTTCAATCCACTTTGAGAAGGCAAATAAAATCAAACTGCTACCCCAATCTCTACACATCCCCCACACCTCCAATACACCAGGTAACTCAAAGTTTTAGTGTTCAGATTTAGTGGCAAAGTTAAAGTGGGTAGTGGTGGTGAGAGACTTGCGGCCCTTCAGATATGGCTTGACTACACTTTCCATCAGCTCTACCTAACAGCCAATGCTAACAGAAGAGCCAAGCTGAAGTCTGACAATGTGGGGGACTGCAAACTCATGAAATGAACATCTTTATGATACAACTTCACAACCTTAAAATGTTAAAAATTCTTATCATAAAACAGATAAATAACGAAAGATGCAGCATAATAAAATTGTGTGTATGTGTATATAATACATACATAACACCTACATATTAAAAATACATATACAATGGTGCCATGCAAGATGAATTTAATTCATTCCGCGGTCAATGCCGTCTTGCAAAAAAATTGTCTATGCATAGGAATGCATTGAAATTTAATTAATGCGTTCCTATGGGGGAAAAAATTAAAAAGTCACTTACCAGGTAGGGGAGCTGGGGAAGCACCACCGGAGGGCTGACGGGGGGTCCCCTCGCTGCTGGCTGTGGGGGTCCCCCAGGGCTTCCCTTGCACCATCCAAGGACTCATGGGGGTCCCTCCATTCGGTGATGGGTGCTTGCAGAGGCTTGCCAAGCACCATTTGTGAAGTTCCTGCCCTTTCCCCATTCCTTCGGCAAGCCTCGGAACGTAAAAAGAGGGGGAAAAAAAAAGGAAAGCCTTTTTACGTTCCGAGGCTTGCTGAAGGCAGGGGGAAAGGGTGGGAACTTCAAAAATGGTTCTTGGCAAGCCTCTTCAAGCGCCCATCGTCGCGTGGAGAAGTCCTCGGATGGTGCAGGGAAAACCTCTGAAGGGCTCTGAAGCCGGTGGGCGCGGTTGCAGGAAACCTCCACCAGTGCTCCGATGGTGCAGGGGAAGCCATCGGAGCACTGGCAGGGGTTCCCCGCAACCACGCGCGTTGGCTTCGGAACCCTTCGGAGGCTTTCCCTGCACCATCTGAGGACTTGCGGGGGTCCCTCCACGTGGTGATGGGTGCTAGCCCAGCATGATTTTTGAAGTTCGTGCCCTTTCCCCCTGCTTTCGGTAAGGCTCTGAATGTAAAAAGGCTTTCTTTTTTTTCTTTTCCTTTTTCCTTTCAGAGGCTTGCTGAAGGCAGGGGAAAGGGGGGGGATTTTCAAAAATGGTGCTCGGCTAGCCTCTGAATGGCAACAGTCGTCTTGCAAAGCAGGGCCATAGGAAAAATTGTCTTGTGAGGCACCAAAAACCTCGCCGGACACATTCATCTAGCGATATTTTTGTCCAGCGAGGCAATCGTCTTGCGAGGCACCACTGTATTATGGGCACATTCCAACAAGTCTACACATCCTTCTAATTAAAAGAATGATAGTTCTTGTCTACTGCTTGATTCCTAAAGTACATTAATATATACAGCATGCATTATACGTATTCGAAAACTGAACAAATAGGGGAAAACTAGTCAAACATGCTGAAAAGGACTTGCCTGCTGCTTGGGGAAAGCCAATGGCTGGAGCAAAGCCTGCAGCCCCTGCATATGGTGAGGAGATGATACCTGGAGTGCCTGAAAAAGGGAAAGGGAAATAAAAAGGGAAATAAAAGGACTGGAAGAGATTATTAATTTCTGAGGAAAACAGAAAGCACGTTAATTCTTCAGAAAGTCTGTAAGCTAGTTTAACACTTTTAAAAAGGTTGTATGTATTCATCCAGGGCCGCTAGTCACTGCCGTCCACATGGGCCTGTGTTGTTGTGCCTACATTCCAAAGACATTTAAGGCAATCATGGAACCAATACTAGTTTACAATTTGTTCAACCTTATTCCCAACATCACCATTGATTTCACACTATAAAGGCATTTGCAGATGTGATTTATGTGGTAGTACACTTAAGAAACAATACACACATGCAAGTACAAAAAGGCTTTGCAGTTAAAAAGCTTAACAGTATTAACTGGTGAGCAATATCACTGGGTGGTAAATGTCTGCTCTTGATCTTAGATCAGACTCATACTGTTCAGCCTCTTCCAGACTAAAACTAAGAGAAAAGAAAAATCTAAAACATATTCATCTGATCTATAGTTCTATCTGCTCAGTCTGCAGACTGCTCAGGAACAACTCTCTCACTGGCAATATACAGTAACTTTGAATATTTAGATACAGGCTCAGCTCTAAAGTAATAATAAATCTGCACAAAATAAAATCTAGAATATTATCGATTCATCATGTATAGAGATGATCTTGAACAACAAAAAACGCTACACTGCCTACTAATGCATGTTCCCACTCTTGAATGTGGATACTTCTGAAATAAGCAGCAAACTACCATGTTAACAGCTGCAGCCCATCCTCCCATCTGCATGAATTCAACAGCTTCCTACACCTCTTATCTTCAGCTCCAATATGGTAGTTACACAAATACTGAAGAACACTATATATTACTTAGAATACGTGCATTACTATCAGGACAAATACTGGCAATATAAGTATTAATCATTTATTCACAGTTCTGATTTCCATTATAATTCATTATATATTGGAAGCAGCTAGAAACAAAGAACTTATTCAGCCAGATGAGCCCTGCATGAATACTGATATCAAGTACAAACAATACCCAAAATTTTCGCACAAAATAACGGGTATTCCAGCACACAGCATGCAAAACATCTTTGTTACATATCACTGAGTAGGGTAAACTAATGAACTATTTAACCCATGATTAGACACTAAGCTAGGCACAAATATTTGAAGTACAAAGAAAATTAGTTCTCCCATGAACTCCCACTCCATCAGAACCTGCTGTAATCTACTTGCTACTCTCAATTCTTTGAACCAGGGTCTGTCTTGTCAGCATAAATATCCCAGGGAACAAGAAGATCTGCATTTAGAATGCACTTTACTCAGGAAAATAGAAATTCAGTTTTGTGAATTCTGTCTGACCACCAGACCACCTATTATAGAGCAGGAATGCAAAACATGCAATCCACAGTCCACATACCAGTCCCCCAGTATTCCTAATGTAGCCCACCACAGCCCAACCTGTCCAAATCTCAAATACATGTTTTAAAACTGGCTTAGAAAGCCTCATTCTGCCCTCCAAAAGACACGGAGAAGTAACTTACAGTGGTGCCTCACTTTACGACTGCCCCGCATTACGATGAATCCGCTTAATGACAATCTTTTGCAATCACAATTGCGATCGCAAAACAATGGTCTAAATGGGGGAATTTCGCTTTGCGATGATCAGTTCCCTGCTTCGGGAACCGATTCTTTGCAAAATGACGTTTTTCTAACAGCTGATCGGCGGCTTCAAAATGGCCGCCGGGTAATTAAAATGGCTCCCTACTGTGTTTAGGGATGGATTCCTCAATATACAGGCAGCAAAAATGGCTGCCGTATGGAGGATCTTTGCTGGGCAGTGAGTTTTTACCCCACTGGAACGCATTGAACGGGTTTCAATGGGGTTTTTTATTTCGCTTTACGATGTTTTCGTTTAATGGTGATTTTCCTGGAACGGATTATCGTCTTTAAGTGAGGCACCACTGTACCATGTTTTGAGGGCCCCATAGCATCCCTGTCCTACTAGCATCCCAACCTCCAAGTACTCTTTGAATTGAATTTACTTTATTGTCATTGTACTTCCATACAACAAAATTAAATGCCATCTCCAGTACACATAACAAAACACACAAGAACATAGCATCCATAACATAGAACATTACACATTAAACATATTCACATCCACATCTTTCACATTCAATTTCCCATCACACAACACATTAATATTGCACTATACAGTGGAATTCAATATAGCTGCAGCTCTGGGATAGAAATTGTTTTTCAACCTTCTTTAATCATAATCTGTTTTAAATCTGACCACTAGTGCAAGGAGGCTTTTTCAAGTGAAAAAACAAACAAACCTCTTTTTGCAGTACAAATGGGCAGGGTATGTGTGTTTCATAGCACCCCTCTGAAATCTACAGATGAGTGTGTGGTTCATGAACCTCAGGAAGTTAAAGGCCTTCAAGAGGGCTCTGAAGACTGATCTCTTTGCCTTAGAATTCAGTTAGGACTCAACTGAATAGTACTATTTGGTTTTTAACTTTAGTAGATCCTATTTTTAATGGCTGTTTTATTACATTGTATTCACATCTGGTCTTAATTCAGGAGTGTTTCCTTGGATCGAGGGGAACTCCTCAATTGATTTTATGTACTGCCAATACATATGTCCAGGAGCAATTTTTCCCATTGTTGTGGGGGCAGTGGGCCTCTACAGGGGCCTGCAAAAACGGCTTGGGGCTGAATACAGCCTGTAGGTCATACTTTATGCAACACTGATCTAAACATTGTGTTATTAAAAATCTGACGAACTTTATCTGGCCTCCCTTAAATGCCATAATCTTCACCACAGAGAAAGAATTTGGCTCAGGGAATTAAAAGAAGATGAATTTATCTCTGCTCTTTTCGCTATGATATCTGAGAAAGAAGGTCATAAAAGGTGCTGAAGATCTGCAGAAGCTGGTAATGTCTCTGAAATCGTATGTCCTGTAAAAAATTCCATGAGCAGGGCTTGGAAAATTTTAGAATGTCTCACCAGTCACTCAAAAATTGCACCAGTCAGCATGACTTTACAGTGGGGTCTCTACTTAAGAACTTAATCCGTATTGGAAGGTGGTTCTCAAGTTGAAAAGTTCTTATGTTGAATCTGCATTTCCCATAGGAATGCATTGAAAACCATTTAATCCGTATCTGCTCTTTTCCGTCCATAGAAACTACAGTGGAACCTCTATTTAAGAACGTAATCCGTTTTGGAATGGTGTTCTTAAGTTGAAGCGTTCTAAAATTGAAGCAAAATTTCCCATAGGAATGGACTGAAAACCAATTAATCCGTTCTGGCTGTTTTTTTGTTATGTAGAGGTGCGTTCGTACATTGAAGCATTAGTTCCTATAGGAAATAATGCAAAGCTGGTTAATACATACTCTACCACTAGGGGGAGAATTTTTTTTAACCTAAGATGACCTAAGGTTAAAAAAAGAGCAGGAAAGGGTTTTTTTCCTATTCTTATCTTGGATTTCTGTTCTCAAGTAGAAGCAAAATTTAGCAAATGGAGCTGTTCTTAAGTTGGATTGTTCTTAAGTAGGGACGTTCTTAAGTAGAGACCCCACTGTACTATATAGCCTTGCAATTTATTGGGATTAGTAATCACTGATTTATACCCTCAGACCTGGGTTGATTTATTACCGTCGTGCCTATGGGGTCATGAAGCTTGTATTTACCCTCAGAACTGGGTTGATTTATTACCGTCGTGTCTATGGGGTCATGAAGCTTGTATTTTGAATGCCTTTCTTTTGAATGTCTCCAGCAAAAATAAAACTGAAAGCAAAAGCACCCAGCCCCTTAAGGAGCCATGGTTCCCTCCCATGGCAGGATGTGTCCTCGTTTGGTTAAAATTGGGAGCAGGGAATCTCCATAGTCTCCAGTATACTGGGTTGATTTATTACCGTCGTGTCTATGGGGTCATGAAGCTTGTATTTTGAATGCCTTTCTTTTGAATGTCTCCAGCAAAAATAAAACTGAAAGCAAAAGCACCCAGCCCCTTAAGGAGCCATGGTTCCCTCCCATGGCAGGATGTGTCCTCGTTTGGTTAAAATTGGGAGCAGGGAATCTCCATAGTCTCCAGTATGGGACTACTCTACATTCTCCTGCAGAACTATATCTCTATGTATCGCTCAAACTCTCTTATCGCAAGAAGAAGGCAGTTTTCCTTTTGCAATGGGAGAGGGGAGGGGAGGACTGCAGGACTAGAGAGAGAAAGAAAGACAGAGACAGGCGGAGGGGAAGGAGGCAGGGAGGGAGGGAGCTATGATTCATCGAGCAGCATTTTTCCCTCGTCACAGATGAAGTGGATGAGTGCATTTTTCAAGCCCTGTTCATGAACTGGCATTCAGATACAGGCTGAAAGAGCTAAGAGTTTCATACTTATCATTAGCAAATTACTATATGAATCCCAAGAAACGTATACCAATGGTTGCAGTATTTTGCAAGCCAGCTACACCAGAGCACAGAGTGCTGTCCTCTGAAGATGCCGGCCACAGAGACTGGCGAAACGTTAGGAAGAACAACCTTCAGAACACGGCCAAAGAGCCTGAAAAACCCACAACCACCATTAGATCCCGGCCGTGAAAGCCTTCGTAAACCTATACCAAATTAGTGAGAGTAAAGCTGAAGCAGATAGTCTCTCATCATCAGGAGAAAAAAATGACATGAGAGCATCTTGTTAGAGGCCTCTCACATGGTTACCTTTCTTCTGTTTGGGGAAATTAAATGTAATAGGATTATAATTTTATATTTGGAATTTAAGATGTCGTTTTCCAGTTTTTTAAGAAATGTGTTTTAATATACTCTTCAGTTTCAAAACCATTTCTGTGACATAATGAAATTCATAGCTGAGCAACAAACTAATTCAATATTTAAAATACTCAATAGCCTACTGTTACTAAAAATCGTTCAAAGATGTAACTTGTTCCATCTTCTACCAACAAAGGAAAAGTTCTTACCAAAAGCAGCTGCCATGGTGGGATCAAGAGAAGGCTGTCCATCGCCCGAAGGAAGGTCCAAACGAGTAAAGTCTCTGCTTTTATCATTGTTGTATTTTACATTAAGGCTTGTTAGCTTGGAGAAATCGATACGAAGAGTGCAGCAAGCATTGTATATATTTTGACCATCAAGCGCCTATGAGAAGACAAAAATATTTATTTATTATATTTATATGATACTCATTTGAGTAGCAGTTATGAAATACAGTAATATTTTTCAACTGTTTGTGATTAAGATATACTGCAATTTTAAAGAAGACCTGGCAGAACAAAAGGGGTCAAGCAGAGACCTAGCCCACATTTCTGGTGTAATTCCCTATGCCTTTATAGGTTCTTGGTCAAATATATGGACTAATTGTAAGAAGCTATTATCATTCAACCTAGCTGGATAGTTCAGTGAGTTAGGTATCTGGCTATGGAGGCAGACGTTTGGAGTTCAATTCCCCACTGTGCCTTCTGGGAAAAAAAGAGGTTACTTGCCTGTAACCATAGTTCTTTGAGTGGTCCTCTGTGAATTCACACATATGGGTATTGTCTGCGCCTGCGCTGACTCTCTCAGAAGATTCTAGAGCTAAAAGTAACAATTTTATGGTGTGATCCTCCACGAGGTATATGCTCCTCCCATCTTCACCATCTTCACCAGTTCCTAAATTTTATCCGCCGGGTATGAAGGAAAGAATTAATTAATTATATAATCAGCCCGTGACGGATAGAGGGGAAGGATGGGCGGGTTGTTTGAATTCACAGAGGACCACTCAAAGAACTATGGTTACAGGTAAGTAACCTCTTTTTCTTTTTCGTGGCCTCTGTGAATGCACACATATGGGTGACCAGCAAGCTGCACTTAACGGTTGGTGGGTCATCACGGTAAGAAGGATGACTGGACAGCTGTCAAATGCAGCATCTTGGCGTGCTCTGACGTCCAGGCGGTAGTGCTTGACAAACATGGATGGTGTAGACCACGTAGCGGCACGACAGATGTCAGGAACCTCGGTGCCACGTTGAAAGGCAGTAGAGGTGGACAGCGCCCTGGTAGAATGAGCTGTCAGATGTTCTGGAGGGATTTCCCCGACAGGCTGTAAGCAAGGGAGATAGTCTGTACAATCCAACGTGCTATGGATTGAGAGGAGGCTGGGGCCCCTCTGTGTGGGCCGTGAAAGCAAAGAAAAAGTTTATTGGACTTTCTAAAAGCTTTTGTCCTTTCGACGTAGAAAGCCAGGGCACATCTAACATCGAGATTATGGAGCATATGTTCTAGGGGCAATGAAGGAGACTTGAAGAAGCAAGGCAGTATGATGAGTTGGTTGAGGTGGAAGTCAGAGGCCACCTTCGGAAGAAAAGAAACGTCAAAATAAAGAGTCACTTTATTGGGGTGAAAATGGATAAAGGGAGGATCAGCTCGAAGAGCGGCGAGCTCACTAGCCCGTTTGGCTGATGTGATTGCAACAAGGAAGGCCGACTTAAGGGTCAGGAATTTGAGGTCGATAGACGCCATGGGCTCAAACGGAGGCTGCATCAAGGCATTGAGAACCCGCTGCAGTGACCACTGGGGGATGAAATGTTGTTGAGGAGGGCGAATGTTGTTGAGCCCTTTGAGGAACTTTTTGACAGTTGGGTGAGAAAACAACTTGGAGGAGGGAGAATCATCCGGCTGGTGAGCCATAGCGGCTGAAAGATAAACCTTTAATATGGACTGGGAAAGGCCGAAACTGAAGAGATCCAGGAGGTAATCGAGCAGAGTCTTCAAAGAGACAGGTATGGCAGGTAAGTTATTGTCATGAGTATATTTTAGAAAAGACTTCCATTTATTTTCATATAGGAGGGTAGTGGAAGGTTTTCGGGATCGAAGAACCTGCATCACGTTGGGAGTATCCTCCATGCCGCAAGACTGAGAGAGGCGACGTCTGGGTGAAGAACGAGGCTGTGGTTGAGCGAGCGGAGATCTCGACGGAGAGAAAGGTGGAGCATGTCTGACGACATCGAGACCAGGTGAGTGAACCATGGCTGGCGGGGCCAGTACGGGGCTATCAGGATCGCGTTGGCTTCGTCATGTCGGAGACAGACGATTACTCTCTGGATTAGAGGCGAGGGGGAAATACGTAAAGGAGATCTCCAGACCAGTCCATCAGGAATGCGTCTCCCAGAGAGTTGGTGTCCCGTCCTGCTCTGGAGCAGAACCGTAGACATTTCTTGCTAGCATTGGCTGCATCAGTCATTACCTGTATGGAAGGTCTGAGAGGCGAGAAAAGCCTGCCGATGAGAAAGTTGTCGGGGTGAGTCCACCAGTCGAGCGGGGAGGCTAGTTCTGGTGTCACCTGCAGTAGGGTAGAAGGGAGACCTGTTTCGGGATTGAACAGGGAAAGGAACCATGCCTGCAGGGATCTCGTTTTGAGCCTGGCGTGTTGGACGACAGCTGTTGTCGATGCCATGAGCCCCAGGAGGGGTTGGGTGTGATGCGCCGAAACGGAGTGCTGTGTTTGGAAAAGGCGGACAGCCTTTTGGATTTTCCTGATCCTGTCTGGAGGCAGGAAAGCGCTTGCACAGAGGGAGTCTATTTCCATGCCTATGAACTTGGCCGTCTGCTTTGGGATCAAGTGTGACTTCTCGAGGTTGATCTTGAGGCTGAGACTGTGAAGCGTATGGAGCGTTGTGCCTCGTGCTTTTATGGCATCATGATACGATGTCGCCACTATCACTCAGTCGTCGATGTAGGGATAAATGTTTACTTCCTGTAGCCGGAAGAAGGCAGCCACCGGTGCCATGCACTTGGTGAAAGTCCGGGGGGGGGGGGGAGAGCCCGAACAGGAGGGCACAGAATTGGAAAGAAGTGCCATTGAAATGAAACCGGAGGAATTTGTGATGTTCTGGATGAATGGAGCTGTGGAAATAGGCGTCCTGCAGGTCGATAATTATGAACCAGTCTCCCTGCGAAAGCAAAGGGATAATAGAGTCCAGTGTAAGCATGCGGAATTTTCGGGGAGATATGAAACGGTTGAGGTGAGTGAGATCAAAGATGGGGCGGAGGCCTCCATCTTTTTTAGCAACAGTAAAGTATTTTGAGTAGAAACCATTGAGGGAGTTCGAAGTAGGGACTGGAAAATGGCATGTTTCTGGAGAAGCTTCGTAACCTAGTCCAGCAGAGCAGAGGAGTAGGGGTATATTGAATAAACCCCAGTGGGGGTAATTCGGAGAATTCTATGAGGCAGCCAGATGCTATGATGGATAGAACCCATTTGTCTGAGGATTGCCAACGATGGAAAAATGGGGCCAGTCTGGTACAGTTCAGTGGGTAAAGAGGAATGTCAGAAAAGGCAGGCATAGGCAGTTGTCAGTATTGCTTACCCTTTCGTTGTCCTTTACGAAAGGATTGACGCTGCCAAGGTAGGCTTTGAGGCTGGTATGATGCCATCAGAGGTTGAGGGGCAGTTAAGGACCTGTCGGATTGATGGGGACAAGACTGTCTATAAGGCTGGAACCGTTGATTCTGGCATTGTATGGGATGAAACTGGCCCGAACGGTAGAAGGGCCGTTGGTAAGAGGTAGATGGCTAAACCGAATTGGAGCGCGCAGTTTTGCACTTCTTATGAAAGTCCTCCATGGAATCATCAGTTGTGGAATTGAACAGGTCGGCACCATCAAAGGGTAAGTCCTCGATTCTGGACTTGGTGTCATCAGAGTACGTGGAGGATTTGAGCCAGGCATGGTGTCGAATAGAGATGGAGGTAACCAAAGTTTTAGAAGCAGCCTCAGCGGAGTGTCGCGCCACAATCCTCTGATACTTGGCAAGAGAAATGGCTTGTGAATGGATGTTGATGAGCTCAGATCTCATGGGTTCAGGAGATGAGTCAATAAGAGGAAGGACTTGATTCCAAAGATGACGCTGAAAGGTGCCCATAGTTGCCTGGTAACTGATACTCCTGAGCAAAAAGGCTTGTAGAGAGTAAAATTC